ACCAATATTCGGACTTTAATCATCACATGTTTTAAACAGGTGAAAAAATGTTTTAAACTGTTTTTTTACCATCCCTACATATACCCCAAACTGAATGGGTAATTAGATGTCAATATACATAGGTTTAATTAATAGTTAACCGTTCGATAATATCAATATAAAAAATTTAAATACACATAAAATTTATTTTTCACTGATTCGAATGTTTTAAAATCACATGATTCTATCATCGTTCTCTCAACTAGTGATGGGCAAATTAGCATTTTTTCAAATTTCATGCGCATGGAATTTTGGCCTGCATTATGATAACTTGCTGCTAATGCGGGCCAGAATTATGAGATTCCGAATATTTTTACATGTTCTCAAAGAACACTGAGAACATCGAATTTTAAACATTGCTCTCAACTAGAAACATGTAAAAGTTGTGGAGCATGCGTAATAGTTTTCTTATCCAATCAGAAATATACCCTTACAGCATTTTCCGATCGGTTTGTAAAAAATACAAACCAATATTTTTGTCTGTTTTGTCCGAATTAGCTGATCGGACAAACTCGCAAAAACTCAAGAAAAAACTAACTAGATAACCCCTGCCATTTGTCAGTTCAAGCTTTAAAGTTCATGTCAACAAAACGTAACCCGTTTGAAGGAAACACGAAATACAATAATAAATAAAAATGATATACTTTTAAACAACTCATTGATTATAACCTATAATAAAGAAGATTATAACATTCTTTTAGAGAACATTTGGATTCTCAAGCCTCCAATTGGGATATTCTCAGAGAACGTTGGCAACGATATTGTATTTACGAGTATATTAAACACTGTACAGCGGGAAAAGTAATCATTATATACCTTATTTGTTTGTTTTGCCAACACGTTATTAGTGTTGGTCACGTGCTGAACAAATTAAGTGTTCTTATTGGCTGATCAACAAGAATTTTGATTGGCCAATATTAATGATTAATTTTGTCACTATCGCTATCGTTAACTACTGTAGCAATAAAAAAAAATCGATCTCAAAAGCTAAAAAAACATCTAAATATATTTCTTATGCCAAATGAATTATATTATTGACAAGTTCGAATAAACTATACCAATATATATATATATATATATATATATATATAATAGAAAAAACAATTCAAATAATACTACAGTAATGAAGATGATTGATATGTACTAAAAATCTATACCATTTAAATATATACCATGTAAAGAAATAAACACCAATCTAAAAATCAAGAACTTAACTTTTCATCCATATGAATAAACCATTTAATAGAATCTCTAAAGACCTTTTCTGCAGCAACAGGGTCTCGTAACATAGCATGTTCACAACCTTCATATAAAATTAGAGATTTTTGATTTTTTGGTGTTGAAGCTTGCTCATACAAATCTTTGGATCCATTAACATCTGTTGCTCGATCGTTTATACCATGTTGTGCTAAGAATGGCTTCTTTATTTCTCAGACTTTAAAGAACTTACCGATGCGGTTCATGCTGTTATTAATCATGTAAAGCAACAAAACGCTCTCGTAAAAAAAAAAACGAAAGACAATCTTA